AATCTTCAATGACATTTTTGTATGTGTAAACACACACTGGCCTGCATGGCAGCAGCTGGACCTCATGGTGTGAACCGTGCATTCCCTCTGGAAGTTCTTTGATGCCCTAATGCCATGGGCATGGCATCTGTAATGTGCCCGAGTACACATTGGGGAAACTGAGGCACTGCACCTGTGATCTGCACAGGAAGCTTGATAGAGAGCAGGAACTCACAGTGACTTCATAGTTCTTTAAAACTCCACGTCCACTCGGCAAAGAATTTAATTCAAGCTCAGCTACTCAGAGATTGTGACCTGAGGAAGACCCTGCACCTGTTAAGCCTCATGGTGTCCCCTGAGGAAGAGGCAGACAGACTCATCTCTGAGCTCAGCATGGCCGGGCCAGCCCAGGAGTGAGGCCAGGAAACAGTCAGGGGTGGAGATGTCAGCTGAGACTTCGGGACCAGCAGGGGAAGGAGAATCTCTGGCACAGGAGGTGGCTGTGCCAGGGCGGCCACTCCCCTGCCAGGGTCCCCTGGGGCTGAGCCCCTCTCTGCAAACCACAAAGCTGCTCAGGCAGCAGCCCCTGGCCAGGGCTGATTTGCATCAGGGGCAGCTCTCTCCAGCAAGGGGATAAGACAGGCCTGGGAGGCACCTGCCCAGCCTGGGCCTCAGGAAGCAGCATCGGGGGCGCCTCCACCATGGCCTGGACTCCTCTCCTCCTCGGCCTCCTCGCTCACTGCACAGGTGCTGCCCAGGGTCCTCCACCCGCCCAGCCCCAGGGCTCGGGGACAAGCCTGGCCCTGACTCTGAGCTCAGCAGGGCCCTGGCTGTGGTGGGCAGGAGGCTCCTGACCCTGCTGCAGGATGGGGGGCCGGTGGGGCTGAGACCCCCACACTGTGCTCGCTGGTGCCCTGAGGGCCCTTTCATCCTCGACCTTCTGTCCAGGACAGGCAGGGAAAGGTCTCCTTGGTGTGAGCCCCTCAGTCTCAAGCCTTTTCTCTCTCCGTTTCTCTCCTTGCAGGCTCCGTGGCCTCCTATGAGCTGACTCAGCCGCCCTCGGTGTCAGTGTCCCCGGGACAGACAGCCAGGGTCACCTGTGGGGGGAACAGCATTGGAAGTAGGAATGTGCACTGGTACCAGCAGAAGCCCGACAGGCCCCTGTGCTGATTATACATAGTGACAGCAACCGGCCCTCAGGGATCCCTGAGCAACTCTCCGGTTCCAACTCCGGGAACACAGCCACCCTGGCCATCGGCGGGGCCCAGGCTGGGGACGAGGCTGACTATTACTGTCAAATGTGGGACAGCAGTAGTGATCATCTCACGGTGACACAGGCAGATGGGGAAGTGAGACACAAACCTGCCCCTCCAGAACGGCTCTCAGCGCTCCACCCCCCTCCTGCCTGTCACACTGAGCAGGACACGCCTACTGCTTGCTGAGGGCGTACACTCTTCCCTTCCAGGAGGATGCGCACTGTCTCTTTTCCTGATATGATCGGATTGGAAAGGGACAGAGTCCACATTCATAGCTGGGTGCTGCGCTTTTTTGGCCTCATTGATGGTCTCTAGGAAGATCCCGCATCTGACACGGAGATTCAACTGCAGCCGCTGCGTGGCTGGATGTGGGCCGGCCACTTCCACCTCCCGGACGCGCTCCACCTCGGAGACATCAGAGAGGAAATGAAACGCAAATGAAAGATTTCCTGGTCTTTCTATGTGTGAT